TGGGAGTATTCCAGATAGCATCAAGCAACTTTCTAAGTTAGAGAGCATAGATCTCTCTCACAACCGATTGAGTGAGAGTATTCCAGACAGCATCAGACAACTTTCTCAGTTAGAGAGCATAGATCTTTCTCACAATCAATTGAGTGGGAGTATTCCAAATAGCATCAGGCAACTTTCTAAGTTAGAGAGCATAGATCTCTCATACAATCAACTCAATGGGAGTATTCCAAATAGCATCAAGCAACTTTCTAAGTTAGAGAGCATAGATCTCTCTAGCAATCAATTGAGTAGGAATATTCCAGATAGCATCGGACAACTTTCTCAGTTAGAGAGCATAGATCTTTCTCACAATCGATTGAGTGGGAGTATTCCAAATAGTATCAGACAACTTTCTAAGTTAAAGAGCATAGATCTTGATGGCAATCAATTAAATGGGAGAATTCCAAATAGCATCGGGCAACTTTCTAAGTTAGAGAGCATAGATCTCTCTAGCAATCAAATGAGTGGGAGTATTCCAGATGGCATCAAGCAACTTTCTAAGTTAAAGAGCATGGATCTCTCTAGCAATAAATTGAGTGGGAGTATTCCAGATAGCATCAAGCAACTTTCTAAGTTAGAAAGCATAGATCTCTCTCACAATCAACTGAGTGGGAGTATTCCAGATAGCATTGGACAACTTTCTCAGTTAGAAAGCATAGATCTTTCTCATAATCAATTGAGTGGGAGTATTCCATTTAGCATCAGGCAACTTTCTAAGTTAGAGAGCATAGATCTCTCTCGCAATCAACTTAATGAGAGTATTCCAGATAGCATCAAGCAACTTTCTAAGTTAGAGAGCATAGATCTCTCTAACAATCAATTGAGTGGGAGTATTCCAGATAGCATCGGACAACTTTCTCAGTTAGAGAGTATAGATCTTTCTCAGAATCAATTGAGTGGGAGTATTCCAAATAGCATCAAGCAACTTTCTAAGTTGAAGAGCATGGATCTTGCTGGCAATCAATTCAGTGGGAGTATTCTAGATAGCATCGTGCAGCTTTCTAAGTTAGAATTTTTATTTCTTTCTGGCAATCCATTAAATAGGAGTATTCCATATAGCATTGGGCAGCTTTCTAAGTTAAAGTGTTTATATCTTTCTGGAAATCAACTGAGTGGGAGTATTCCAGATAGCATCGGGCAGCTTTCTGAGTTAAGGCAGCTATCTCTTGTTAGCAATCAATTGCGTGGGAGTATTCCAGATAGCATTATGCAGCTTTCTAAGTTAATTTCTTTAGATCTTTCCAGCAATCAATTAAGTGGGAGTATTCCATATAGCATTGCGAACCTTTCTGAGTTAAAGTTGTTAGATCTTTCTAAAAATCAATTGAGTGGGAGTATTCCAGATAGCATCGGGCAACTATCTCAGTTAAAGACGATACTTCTTTCAAGCAATCAGTTGACTGGGGGTATTCCATATAGCATCAGGCAGCTTTCCAAGTTAAGGACTATATATCTGTCTAGCAATCGATTGAGTGGGAGTATTCCAAATAGCATCGGGCAACTTGCTAAGTTAGAGAGCATAGATCTTTCCAGCAATCAATTGGGAATAGGATTTCCCAAATGGCTTCTATTGCAAAATACAACAACCATGGTTGATCTCTCTAATGCTAGCATCTCAGGTCCTCTTCCAGAAAACATTGATCATATGATGCCAATGTTGCGAGAATTATATCTTAAAAATAACCTCATGAACGGTTCAATTCCAAAGTCGCTATGCAATTCAAAATTTTTGGAAGCTCTTGATCTCTCAAACAATATGTTTTCCGGAAGTATTCCCAATTGTTGGAGAAAGAATCAATCATTCAATTTTATTGATCTATCTTCTAACAATCTCTCGGGTTTGTTTCCGAGCACAATGGGGCTACTTTCTTATTTATTGGTACTGCACTTGAACAACAATAGTCTCAATGGGGAACTACATATGGCCTTGAAAAGCTTCACTTCTTTACTGGTTTTGGATTTGGGTGAAAATAAATTTTTCGGAAATTTAACAAGCATTGTAGGAGGCGAGATCAGCAACCATTCTTTAAAAATGCTTCGACTACGAAAAAATTTGGTTTCTGGTTATATTCCTTTGGAACTATGCTTTTTCTCTCGATTGCAAATTTTGGATCTTGCGGATAACAATTTGACAGGAAGGATTCCTCCTTGTTTTGGAAAGTTTCCAATTATGGTGAATGCAACACAATTGATGAAACGCATTATTGATGATTATTGGTCTTGGGCACATTTGAAGGAGGTTGTGAAAGGGAGATACCTTGAGTATACAAGAAAAACCCTAGGACTCGAGAGCAGTATAGATCTTTCGAGTAACAATCTAATAGGATCCATACCAAATGAGCTAATTTTCCTTAAGGATTTGCACATTTTAAATCTATCTTGGAATCATCTCTCAGGAAAGATCCCTGAGAAAATTGGACAAATGGAGAATTTGGAATCTCTCGATTTCTCCCAAAATGGCCTCTCAGGAACAATCCCGAACAGTATGTCAAGTTTAACCAAGTTAAGCCACCTCAACTTGTCCTACAACAACTTGTCAGGGCCAATTCCAACAGGCTATCAACTCCAAACACTCGAAGATCCAACCATTTACGTCGGTAATCCTCAACTTTGTGGAGCTCCACTCTTGAAGAAATGCTCAAATGATGTGCTACCTCCACCAACTGACCACTTGAAGGACAACGATGAAGGTCCACTTACAAGAATGTGGTTTTACATCATTGTGATGTTAGGCTTTGCAACTGGATTCTGGGGAGTTGTGGGAACTCTATTTTTTGTAAAAACTTGGAGATATGCTTATTTTCAATGGGTGGATGATGTCCAACATTGGATCCTTGTGGTTATAACATTGAAGGTGGCAAGAGTTAAGAAGATGTTCAATGGCAACCCAGATGATCAGTGAGTAATATATGAAGTATGTTGTTGTTGCTACATTTATTACTAAACTAGTTCCATAACCAGTGTTGCAGGGTATGGTGTCAAGTCCAACTTTGAATGGCCAAACATTGCATCGGTCAATTTTAAATGAACACATAAGTATTGGGGTTTGTAAAGTTTTCAATAATATAACATATGTTGTAATTTTAAAGGTTTTACAAAAATAAAAATTCATAAATTCATACAGAAACTAGTGAATTCTATGCAAGGCTATCAGATTCCATGGATTTCTATCTTTTTAGTTTTGTTAACAGAAGAAAGGAGAGAGAGAGAGAGATGAAAGAATGAGATAGGAAGAATGGCTCAGCTAAGTATACAATAATAGCCAAAACAAAGTCCTCATATATTCATGGTCAAAGTTTGGA